CTGGATGTACACGGGGTAAGATGCTATCTCGGTAATCAGGATCTGAAGATGGATGGAGGAGGCCTTTCCCCGAGGCATAATCACGTCCAGGAGGAAGACCTGCGCCATAACCAGTGCTTGATGAACCTTGTCCATAGAGGTTGTCAATGTTTGTCCTTGGAGCTCCTTCCAACAATGAGGCTGCTTGCTGTCTTCCATATGGAGCAGTCCCAAGAATGGACATGTTGCGATTATCAGCTTCAACTCTTCCATATACACCAATTTCCTGGGATGCTTGATGGACTGGAGCAGACCTTCCTGCAAAGTAATCGGCTTGTCTGCCAGAAATGCATACTATACTCAGTGCATGCGCTATGTTCTATTGCAGTGATAAACACACAAATGATTGCTACTGATTTCTTCCAAGAAAATCAATGAGAAGTACCAAGACAACTAACGGAAACAAAGACTACGGCGGAAATTGTTTAGCAAACACATGGTCATTCAATTGATGCACTGTTATATCATGTGTGACAGAATTCTAACAATAATCAACAACATTCTAGATTCATTGCATATAACCTGACTGACATAGTGTACCTCGTATCAGATCCAGGCTGCAGCTGACCTTTCAGGAGCTGCTGGTGGCGCATCGATGAACCCTAGGAAATTAACAGGATTCAACAGACAACATGTTATTAGAAAGAACAAAACAGCATTCTGTAAGTAGGGAAACAAAAATCTACCTGCTCCATATGATCATGAACCTGAGAAAAAACAAAAGGGTTACAACAGTGCACTGATTATTTACAATCTAGAGAAAGGCAAAAAGAAAAACAGAGAAAGAAACCTGATGACCAGTGGCTATCTGATCGGTGTATCTTCTATCCAAATCACTGAGACCATCTCTCCTACCAAGATTGGCTGAGTGTTCACCATACATCCTTCTCTCTAGTGGATAATCAGTGCCATATTGGTCTAGCTTCTGTGCATAACCACGCACAGCCATATAGTCATCATTTGGTCTTGCCAGGCCAGACCCCACAGGTGCAGATGAGAACTTGGATGACTCAGCGAGCGAAGTTGGACGAGTTGGCAAGCTAGGAAGACTTGAAGAAGCTGGACCTTTGCCACCAATTCCACCAACCTGTTGAAAAGAATGAGGATGTTAAGTTGAGATACTTGGCAACAAAATTGTGGGAACCACATGCAACTGCAACACTACAAGTTAAAGGTCATGAGAAGTGAACTCTAACCATAAGAGGAAGTGACTGAAACAGCTGAAACATGTGATTGGTAGGGATTGACATGAGCAAAAGGTTGCTTGAGTAACTAAAACAGGGGCTAAACACAGCTCAAATAACAGAAGTGTACATGAATGGTTGGCACAAAGGGCGTGTTTGGTTCCCGCCTGAGCCACTGCCGCCGCAAGTGTGGCCACGCCGTGAGTGCGGCGGACAAAACGGCCGCCTGACTATTGGCGAACTGGGGCGCGCGTTTTGAACTGCAGGCTGCGGCGTGCACCAAACCTGCAGCAAAGTGTGGCGGCAGCGTTTGGCTCCCGCGGCGTGCCGCATGTGCGGCGCGGCGGCCTGCGTGGTTTGGAAGCCATCCAAACACGCCCAAATTCCTTCATAGGCTCATAGCAGACACTACTCATGGTACGAACTTAGTATTATATGCTTTTAAATAGCCAGTTATATAGATGTAAAATGCAAAATGCAAAAAGCTTAGCAGTTTGGGAGTCTATAACTGGACGTAAAATGCTAGCTGGAGGTAATGACATAGCTTAGCATGTTTTGTACAGGGGAACCTAATAAATGGATTTTTTGTTAACCAACTTCTCTTTCTGCAAGTATTTCTTGTTACAAAAAGTGTAGGATCTGATACACATTTTTTTGCTTAAATTGTTGCACAAACTGTTCTAAAATTATCGGTTAGTGGAATTGATGGACAGTTGTTTTGCATAATCCGAACAGAAGATGACCTTTCCACCTACTCCCTCCGTCTTAATATACAAGGGGCAACTCCCCTATACACGCAGACCAAGGAATGAAGTTAATCCAAACACCACGTCAATTAATCAAAGCACTAAATGATGCGGCACCGGTGTATATAGAGTACTACAGTGCAGGGGCAGGCCAAAATAGAGCTGAGCATTAAATTTTGCACGGGTACATGGGCACCAAAGGAGTCAGAAGGACGCCGTGCCCTCTATTATGGGACTTCAAATAAAAACAGTTACACCCTATATATTGAGACAGAGGGAGTAACTTCCAAAAAAGAAAAATTCATTAAGCCCTTTATTCTTGTGTTTCAATTGCAACTTTAAACGATAAGATGAGCATATATTAGGAATATAAATCGAGCTTTTATAATTCAGATTAGCAAGAAGGATAGCCAAGCACACATAGAAATTCTGCCAGCAATACTTCACAAATATTTAATTGACTAGACTGGAATCAGCAATTCTATCCCAAATGTCCACGTTAATCCATCAGATTTTCTAGTGCCAAAAACAATGCAACTTTGTAACATTTTGACCCTATGACTACAAACAAAAGTATCGGACTAGCAGGTACTCCCTCCATTACAAATTATAAGACGTTTTGGCTTTTCTAGATACATTGCTTTTACTATGTATCTAGACACCGTGTGCGTAGCAAAAATTATGTATCTAGAAAAGCTAAAACGCCTTATAATTTGGAATTGAGGGAGTAATAAACTTCAATAGTTTCCTTGAATCAAGGTTCCTCACTGATACACACAACACAAAAAAAACTCACAAAAAACAAGCTACACGACATGTGCGCCAATCATATTAATGTTTGAGGATCAACACCAACGGATAATAAATTGCGTGCTGGATTGCAGATTTCATCTAGAAAAGAACAAAGCAGTTATAGTTAACCACCTGTTGCGTGCCATACACTGATGCATAAGGCCCTCCATACTGCGCAGCAGCCCCTTGTCCTGCACGCGCGCCAAACCGACCACCATCAGTGCCACCTGCCGCTGTCGGGGCTGCAAATCCAGTGCTACTAGGCTGAAATAGAGAAAACATTCCAGCCAAAGTGGCGGGAACGCAAATGATTATTCATAACGAATCTGCGCCCAGCAACAAAAGAAAGCAGCCAGATCCTTCACAGAGCCTTACGATTTGGCCGTACGGCTGCTGCCCGCCATAAGGCGGCTGCTGGCCATAGTGATTGGGCCCTTTGGGAGGAAACATGGCGGTCGCGCCCACCTAGGGGCTCCTGCACGGGCACGAGACCCGGACGAAACAATCCACGCGCACGAACAAGCGCCTGAGAGGAAAGAAGGAAACCCTAGATGTTTTAGCACCAAAAAGAAACGAGACTACAACGAGTCCAACCCAATACAGCCACCGTATCTGCAGATTCGATCCACTGCCCGATGCATGGGCTAGGGTTTACCCGCGAGATGGAAGTGGAGGCCAGATGGCGTCGGATGGAAGTGAATCCCCCGTAGGCCACGGCTTCAGGACAGTGCCGGGCCGGCGGCCGGAACCCGGAGGCAACGGTTGGCAGCGGAAGAGCGGCGAGGGTTGGCGGCGGGCGGCGGGCGGCGGGAGGGTTTCGGCCAGGGGTTCGGAGAGCGCGAGATAGGGGTGTAGCCTGTTGCGCCTGTACGACCAGGATGCTCCGTTATTATTTTGCTCGATTTTGCAAAAGCTACGTATATATTGTAAATTCGACAATTCTGTGCCCCTTGATGGGCTCATCATGGGCCTCGCATACTCCTATTTTACCGTAGATCAACTCCATTAGTCTAAATATGCAACCTATGCTCAATTTGAGCTGTGGAGGCTAAAAAAACAAACTCTAGCAACTACATATTAGACTACCTAAATTTGTTGGTCCAATAAATTTCTCCTCTCCCTATCTACGCTCAACAAATCAGGCTACCTATTTTTCTCCCGCCCACGCGCACCTTTCTCTCCTCACCCCGCTCGCTTGCATGGGCTCCCCGGTGGCACCCGCACCCTCCTTGCGCGCAGGTCTACTGGTTTAGTATTATGCATGCTACCAAACACTCTCCTCAACGCGCTCACTCGCACAGGCTCCGGGTGGCACCCGTCCCCGTCGTGCACCCTCCGTGCCGCGCAAGTCTACCGGCTTAGGATTATGCATGCTACCAAACACTAGAAATGAGAAATGTTTCCCTATATATATGCAATCCAATTTCCAATACAAGCCAACCAAACACCACTTTCATTGTATTAGGCTACGCTGGATTAGGTTAATCTCCAATAGACATTATGCAAGATAGATCAATACAGACAACCAATTAGACTCACAGTGTCTTCAGAGTAGTTGATTTATTTAATATCCAAGTGCTCACCAAGAAGGGTAAAGAAAAAATCAGTTTGTTACAGCAGCACTGTCAAGTAAGTTTTGCATCACTCCACCACTGTAGTCTGTAGTACCAAACATCTCACACCTAGTAACAGCTTGCTTTGTCAGCCGGATTATCAAAGTCCAACAAAATAAGGTGGATGCCACCCACCGAAGTTCTATAATTGGGTACAGGCAGAATATGACAAATTGCTCAATCCAACTCAGATCTGTTCTGCTGAGCGCATCAACGAGAACTGATGCATACAACCAGAGCTGACACCACAACATACCACCAACCATATGATAAAAAACCGCTAACAAAAGGGAGGCTTCTGCAACAATTGACTGCCATCTGAACTTACTTAGAAGGCCGCAATGGTTCGCCAATCTTACTTACAACCTGATAAAAAATGGAAATGTTGAGGCCCTAACTTTTGGCAACAACTCATCTTCCCTTATTATTTCTTATCTCTTCAACAAATAATCTGTGACAATTTACAACTGTTTTAAGGCTACAAATCAATGGAATCGACCCCCCACCCAACCCTGACCCTACTAACCTCTTGTCTATGTACATCGCGGAAACAACAGCTATGTCAACTTCACCACAAAAAAATCAAGGGATGCGCATCAGTTCCTACGCCTGCTCATCATCTGTTCCTATGCTTTGAGGTTGACTCGCGTCTTGATTGGCTTTAGCTTAACCCCCATGCTCTCAGGAGAGAGGAGCTCCGGTGATATGCAAAACGGATTCAGAGGGCTGCGAGGGCTACAGTTTATCTGGCTTGGCCTGTACAGGCCATATCCCATGAGGAAGTACTCCATTGGTATCAGCATTGCATGAGGTTGCTCCTCTGTCACAACCGAACCACAAGCCTGTACCTGTAGAAACACCAAACTTGGTATGTAAAACCCTAAAATCAATGGTAAAAAAATCTGTGTGCAAATTGATACCTCCACAAGAGCGCTATATCGCCTATCAAGCTTTGCAGTCATGTGAACAGCTTCAGCATGGAACTGGGAATTCTCACCAACAAAAATTAGTGTTCTGCACTGTAGTTGCTTCAGGTTCTCTGTCAAGTCTTTTCTCCTGTATAAAGCATGGCAAAATATTTGGTTCCACTCATCCACTGACTCAGGTATGACCATATGAGTTGATCATATAAGCTTTAGAGATAAAAAGGACATACTCATTGATAGTTTGGATAAATCTCCACACATTCATGCACTGCCGTTGATCAAGAAACTTCATTGAATAAAAGGAGGGTTAAACATCATAAACAAATACATCGTAACTGATAATGAATGAAAGTCTTAGCGCATACGCTTCTACAAGCCTGCACAATATCTGATTCGGGTTCAGTTGAGCCTCCACGTACTCCCTAGGGATCATAAAATTCAAACAAAAGCTTTAAACAGCTACGCAAATATCACATCACATGACATAGCCTAAGCCATTTAGTTACCTTTCCAAAGTAGCGCTGCAACAAAATATCCTTCACGACATTGCACATGCCATAATAATATAGTAAATTTGACATTACCTAAGGAAAAAAATTGTCAGTACAGAATCATTATTCTGAAGGTAGGTTCTAAGAAGCTTAATATCGAATAACTACCTTATTATAAAACCACTCAGACCATGAGGGAGCTTTACATAGAGGTGAAACGAGAATAAGTCCTAGTACTCGCTCTCTATACTTTGTCTGCAATAAAGAAAAATTACTAAGCAGTTGTGCAAGAAGTACCGAACACACTAGTTTAGAAGAAATCCATACTGCAAATAGAGTAAGAATGTATGCGCCTGCAGTGACACCTAAGCACATAACTGAATCCAGTCTGGAAATACACAAAAAATGAACGAAGTTACTTCACAAATGTCGAGAGAAATTCTGAGAACTAACACTTTATTAATAATGTGCAAATATCTTACCCAAAAAAATCAAGTACGTCTGCGATTTGATCCGCTAAGTCATCAACAGATGCCACAGGTGTGCTCCGCAAAATCGGAGCAGCTCCTAACTGCATGATTTTTCCAAAGATCAGTAAACCATACAACCATGAAAATGTTGATTGAGAATCACCAAATGCATCATGCTAAGATAAACACAGAAAGAATACACTTCACTGTAACAGCAAACTGCACTGACCTCATGTCCTGGGGGGCTGATATGGTAAATGCAAAAATTATGAAGCAGCAATGAAGCTGCTTCAGGACAGAAGAGTAATCCTTGGAAGCAAGACATATCTGATCAACAATAAGGACTTAAGTCAAAGTGCTGTGGAATTCTTAAATGGACTAGCATAGGGTAAGCACGACTGTAAAACTTACGGTTCAAAGCAATATCTGGGTAAGTAATAAGAGCAGGCTTATCATGGTCACCATATATGGCAACAGATACAGATCCATGGTTGGTTTGTATATGATGTTCCTGAGGAAAACAAGAGGAAATTGTCAACACTTGGAAGAAAAGATGGCAATAACAATTACTAATCCACCAAGTTGTACTTCACACCAGATAAAATCTAAATGAAAATGATTCCCGTGGGTGGGGTGGGTGGGTGCAGAAGGTGGGCAGATGAGTGGAACTGTGAAACCTATTAGATTCATGTGCATTCCCTGCGCTTAAATCTATACCTCTATGGGGTGCTCAATTGTAAGTTAATGATCTGCAGAGCCATTTCTTTCTCCAAATGAAAGAGAAAAACCAGTAGTACCTAAAGATTATTGAAAGGAAGGGTTTGTAACCAAACCAAAGCAAAGTTTGTAAATCATGACTTGAGGTTATCTGATTCCTGCATGTTACACTAAGAAAAAAGCATAACAGCTCCATTATAACGTGGCGTGTCACGGTAATGGTTTCTAGACCACATCTCCTAAGAAAAAGGGGGAAATATAGCACTAAGTGCCAATAATAAGAGATTTCTCACCAAGCAAATAGTTAAAAATATAAATAGCAAGAAAAGCATATGCTAGGAAAAATACAACTAGCTGTACTTTTCCATCACAGGAAGGATATGTATGACAACAAGTGGCAACAACAACATCATAGCCATCCTAACCTGTCAGGAAAGAGACCAGTACACTTAATTATCATTCCTAATAATAGAGCTAAAAATATGTTTGAGTAATCCCGAGTGCAATTCCAATCCAAACCATTGGATCATAAATCCTACAGTTACCATGTAGGCCGCCAGGATCATAATGTGGACCTGGCTAAGAGAAGTCCAGTTAGCAGAGAAGAGGCTGCTACAGACATATCTGTGAGTGTGAGATGCAATCAAGTATAGAATTTTCTCTACTAATCAGTGGGTCTCACACTCCATATTTTGATATAGATTACTTAGCCAACTACACTGATTCTTAGACAGCCTTTTTGGCCCCTCTGCACTAACCTACTGATTTTCTCCCTACTTCCTTTTCACTGGTATTGCCAAGAATTATTTCCATACAAGCTAATGACGAGTGGTTTATCTTAAAAAGTGATACCGCAGTTCTGTAGCTATATGAAAGATCAAATTCAACAGCATCAGATTTCACATACAGAGTACATATTCCGCATTCCCCCACCGATGGATGAACAAAGCTAGAACAGCATCCACTCACAAAAAAGGGGCTCTCAATCCATCAGACCTTACTCCAAATCAATTTGCAGGCATGCCTAGAGTTTAAGCTTCTTCCACATAGCCAGGAAGGATTTAGTGCGTGGAACTTGGCTAGAAAGCCCAGCTAAAGCGCTAAAAGATAACAATTAATTAAAAAGAAATAAAGGGGGCCGAATTCTGATTCAACAAACAACACAGGTGAAATCCTACAAGAAAACAAGGCTTAAATCTGAAACCAATACTACAATGCACCCAAAACAAGCAAGCACAGCTAGTGAAAATAAAGAAATGCCGCTCCCCTTGCAACTCCTAACCTTACCACGCAAAGAACTAACTCGAAACCGAACTAAACCCCAGCACCATCAACTTCGCATCTTCCGGCCGTCCAATCCAAGCCTGTCAATCCGCGATACCCTGCCCGCCGTCTCCCTTCCCTTCCCTCCCCTCCCGAAGAACAGAAATCAACCGTAGCAGCGAAAAAAGCAAGGGAGAGTAGGGGGCTGCCCAAACCTTGCCGCCGAAGGAGATGCGCTCGACGTCCACCGACACAACGGAGCCGCCAGAGTCGCCCATACCCGCCGCCGCCGCCGCAGCCGCAGCCGAGCGCACGGGCTTTGCTGTCAAGCTGGCGTGGCCTCTCCTCTCGCTCCCTCTCCCTCTCCCTCTCCTGCCGCCTCCGGTTTCACCTACTACCACCCTTTCTTCCTCTCTCCAGGATGCTCCGGCCGCCGCTTGCTTGCTTCCCCACCTTCGCATCTTGGAGTTCTTGGCCTTTCGCTTATAAACCGAGAGTCTTCAGCGGCGCAGCGCTACCTGCGTTTTAGCCCTAGCAAGTTTCCGATTATTACGATCCAGTCCAGCTAACGGGGAAAGACGAAAGAGGAAACCGACAAGCCAAGAGACCATCGTGTATCTACCGCCGGTCAAGACTCAAGAGCACATTTTCCGCTGTACTCCTTCCACCCAAAATAAACGTGCTATCTCGTTTTTTCAATTAAAGTTGGTTTTCGAAAAAAAACTTATTAAAGTTTAACCAAATTTATAAAAATATATTAATATTTATCATGTATAATAAGTATCATTAGATTTAGTATTTACTCCTCGGTCTATTTTATTTGGCGTAAGCTATAATGATACTATCTCCTAGACTACACTTTGATCATTCATTTGCTTTTATATTATATTATTTATGCTTATAAATTTATAATCATTAGATAGTATAATTCTTTACAAATCTAATCATATAAAGTTTGTATTATAATAATTAAAAATTATTAGCCTAATTATTGGTCAAAGTTTTTAAAGTTTGAATCTTGATATGCTTATATGCTAGATAAAGTGGACAGGAGAGAGTAGTATACTTCTGTGATACATTTATTTATTAGAGATACAAATGTTAATACTATTTTCTATATTTTTAGTTAAACTTAAATATACTCCTTGGGAAGCGAAATGTGCATTTATTCTGGAACAGATAGAGTATACTGTTTTGACAATGGCTTTGAGTATACTTCTATGTAAATAAATACCATACATCTTTTTCGGACTCAGCTTTTAGCATATTTGTTTTAAGGTATATTTTGATTTCTAAGTATTGTTTGGGAACATGTAATTGTATGCCTATATTAGAAGACATATAAACATTTTTCCTAATTTATTATTTTAAATTCACTATTTACTAATTATATTAGGTATGGGACGTGCTTGGTAGATTTGCCTCCTTGCCTATTGTTGGGAACATGTAAGTGTATGCCTATATTAGAAGACATATAAACATTTTTCCTAATTTATTATTTTAAATTCACTGTTTACTAACTATATTAGATATGGGGTGTGCTTGGCAGATTTGCCTTCTTGCCTATTTTTGGGAACATGTAAGTGTATGCCTATATTAGAAGACATATAAACATTTTTCCTATTTTATTATTTTAAATTCACTATTTACTAACTATATTAGATAGGGGACTTGCTTGGTAGTTTTGCCTCCTTGCCTAACCTTGCCTGCTTGGGCAAGATTTGTCATGCCCAGTCAGATGAGCCAATTTGGCTCTCCTGCTTCAACAAGGATAATCTTGCCTGCACAAGAATCGAGGTAATCTTGCTCAACAACCAAGCAGGCTAGCTACTCAACTCCCAAGCTCAGCAAGGCAATATATCAGCCTGTTCGCTTGCTCGTAAACGATCGTAAATTTCCAGTCAGGGATAATGTTTTTCTCTCACATCAAACCAGCCAGCAGTAAATAATCCACGATACGATACGGCCTCCCGAACAGGCTGATAGTGTCGGGCAAAGAAACCAAGCATGCCCATAGGCACTTGCAATATAATTTAGAACTATGACTAAACATGTTTTAGTTTTTTTCTCTTTTTGCGCTATCCATCATAGTCGTTCCTGAGTCATTGCCGCGCCCCCCCCCCCATTTTCTCATGATTGTATTCATTTTTATTCCCAATAACAATGTTCTATTTTTCTTTTCTTTGGCTGAGAAATTCCTTTGTTTAGGATTGGATGAGCAACTTTTTTTAAATAACAGAGCACTTAATTCTTTCCGTATTACCATTTGATTATGACATTTGGCTTAGGTGAGATATGATGCATGACCTTGTATGATATGCACTCCTTGGTTTACTTTAGACCGTTAAATTACTCTAAAAATCTAATGGTGTATATTCCTTTTCTTTTTCTGATAATCTAATATTTCAGACTTTTGGCGAGCGTGATGCTCCTTTTAACATTGTTGTATATATATAATAGACATATTTCAAATTTTCTAGAGGCAATTATTGCCAACAATAAGTCGACTGAAAGCCAACTTGGAGATTAAGGAACATGAAACATACTCCTAGATTCCAAAGGCACACAATATTGTATTCCTTGCGCCTTTCTTGAGGACATCAGCAAGCGAAACGAGAAACTTGTGAGCTAGAGTTCCAGGGAATCACTGTCAAATCATTCTTGATGGGCATTTGACTCATCACTTGTATGATATTTATTTTGTAACTTTTTTCAATTCATATGTAGCTTTCTCTCATCATGGAGGGCTTAGATCCAACATCTTACCAAACTGCCAGTACGCGCTAGAAATATTGGTTGCGTCCAGAGATGTGTGTTCTCCGCTGTGGTGCTGTGGTAATCCTGGTTGCTCAGACGTCTCTTCGCTGGATAAATATTACAGTATATATTAGAAATGCATATTTAGAGTTGATGCAGCTTTCATGTACTGGGGGCATAGAAATTGTTTAGTTTTCTGGTTTGGACTGCTTGCTTGCATTACTGGCTCTTCAATCTTGGCATTCAAATCTACACAGCAAAATTAAAGGCAACCCATAGAGGAATTGTTTATTTTTTCACAAAAAGTTTGGAACATGAAGAAATATGAACTTCGAATCTTGATGAAACATGCGTGCGCATGGAGCAGTGCGAGGATAATCATGTCCAATTTGCAGTAGCTTGTACGATTTTGTGACTTAGTTATTGACAATATCTGATCTATTTGCAGTAGAATGACACTTATTGTTCAAATCGTACTTTGGGTCCCAAAATAGAAGATGAATAAATCATCATAAGTATTGAGATTTCAACCACATGAATTAGCAATCAGCTGGAGTGATATATACTTCTCTTCCTATAGCTAACTCCTAGCTCATCTAGAAAATAACCTTGGCAACGTGCAAATTCAAATCCGCCTGTGTGTGTGGCCACCAGTACTGAGATGTGTACGCCCCCGTTCCCTCAATTTTTTGTCGCGCGTTTCCAAGGTCCTAAAACATTTCTGACATGCATGTAGGACACGCTGCCTGCGGACACGAATTTTCAGCAAAATTAAAAGCAGATCGTGCACGTGACATCGAGAGGAATGCACGCAGCCACCAAAAGAGACGCGTGTGCTCTTGGTTAGGGTAGGCAACGCACAGATGCGATGCGAGTTCCAGGCACCGAGGCACGGGGGCAAGGGACTCAGGAAGGAAACATGCCCGGCAGGCACTGGCGCACTGCCAGGAATCCGACGACAAAGGATTTAAAAACTCCATCGTTTCGTCTCATCCTGCTGTTCATCGTTTGGACGTCGCTTTTGCGCATTGTTCAAAGTCACAAGTTTGTTTAAATGCAGGATCTAAAGTATCTAGGAAGTCCCGTGTCACACATCAAGATATCACGTGAGAGTGTTCGAATATTAATAATAAAATAAATTATATAAGTCCTTATTACTCCGCGAGACGAATTTATAAAACCTAATTAATCCGTTATTAGCACATATTTACTGTAGCATCACATTGTCAAATCATGAATTAATTAGGCTTAAAAAATTCGTGTCGTAAATTAGCCGCAATCTGTAGAATTAATTATTTTTTAGTCTATATTTAATACTCTATACATGTATCTAAATATCCGATAGAATATGAGCTAAACTTCAATGGAATGAACTAATCAGGTCGAAATTTGGGCGCGTGCAGTCATTACTTTCCAACCCACGACCCTCAGACCTCGTAGCTGCCCTGCCTACTAATTAACAAAGTCAACTGTGAGTTATAACTAAAGGACATAAATATTCTCCTCGTATTTATTTCACTTGATTTTGAAATGGTTATTCAGAATTCTAAATGAATTCAAATGAAAAAAATTGTAAAACTATATATATCGTCGAGTACTCCAACTTTGTATGGTCATTTCTCCATAGGTTGCTTGAAAAAATTTGAATTTCAAATGTAAAAAATTCAAACATAATTTTTTAGATAAATGATTTCAAATAAAAAAGTTGTCAATAGAAGATAGGAGTGAGGACCTTGCAAATCATAGGTCCGTTTTAGAGGTACTATGGAAAATATGGCAGTGGAACTATGGAGGATTTGGTCTTATAGGAATGATGTTAATGCTGGCGAGATAATGCAAGCCCTTCTAATATGGCAGGCCCTATAGGCCCCGTTCGGATGGTGCTATAAGTGCACTGTTCATGGCTGGTTTTTACTGTGCGTGGCTAATTTCCTCTCACAAATTCCTGCAGATTCCTCCAAGCGAACGGGGCCATAGCGAGACACTCCATCTGTCCAGGAAAGAATGGAATTCTAGCACAGTATTATAGTCTAGTATCTTAAGTTTGATTAATTATAGATAAAAAAAGTATCAATATTTATGATATCAAATAAATATTATTAGATTAGTTACAAAATGTATTTTCATAATAAATTATTTTGGAGTCGTGAATGTGAATAATATTCACTAGAAATTTGGTCAAACATGAACTATTTTTTATGGCACGCAACTTGTAGTTGTTCTTTCCTGGACAGAGGAAATACTATACAGAGTTCATTGATGACTATGATCTATGGAGTCTCCAATACAGTCACCGAACCATCGCCCGGATGGAAATCACCATTGGCAGATTATTTGAAACTAATGGTTCATTCCACAAACAACAAAGATCGAGAGGCTGGGGATTCTTTATTTGGGACGGACACGGAAGTGTGATTGGCTCTGGTGCTGGTAAAATTGATCACTGCAATGACGCGCTCCAAACTGAAGCTATGGCGGCCTTGCATGGTCTCTTGTTTGCTATAGATGCTGACATCTCAATGATGGAGATTGAGACTGATGCTTATATTCTGAAGACGACACTTACATCTTCTTTTGATATGGTGGTAAATGATGCCTTCTTTTGGGATATCAAGTTCTTAATGTATACCGAATTTGTGTCCGTGAAGGTGTTAAATATCCCCAGGTCATGTAACCTTGTAGCAGATGCTTTAGCTAAGATGGG